AAAATTATGAAGAAAATTTGGAAAAAAACATACCAGATTTGAGTTAGATAAAGATTAGGGTTGAACCCATCGCCATCTTTGAGTTTCAAAAATCACGATCACCTCAGAACCATATCAACAACCAGAAAAATAAAGAAAAAATCAACACATGAAGACTGAGAGGGAGACAAATCAAAACATATATATATATATATATAAGTATGTATAAAGATGGAGATCGTACCACAGACAGATCGGAGGTGAAGATGAGTATGTATATAAACAGATCGTATACATTGGATATGAATATGTATACAAACAGATCGTACCACAGACAGATCGTACACCGATCGGAGGTGAAGATTGAGAATGAGACAGATCGGAGCTTCATAGGTAGAGAGAGAGAGAGAGACGTTTCAATCATGTAGGAGGAGAAAGGACTGGGTGAAAACAGAGAGAGGAGGAAAACAGACTGAGAGAGTGAGAGGGAGATAGAGTGAGAGAGTGAGAGGGGTTTCGATCATGGAGGAGAAGGGAGAGTGGTGAGGAGAGAAAGACAGAGTGAGAGGGAGAGGAAGAGGAAGAGGAAGAGGGTGGATCATTATAGATGTTTGGAGACAGAGTGATGCCTCAATGTATAAAAGAACCGTTGGGCTCTGTTTGGTTTTTTTTTTTATATAAATATTAATTAAATTTTTTAAACCATTTTTTTACGTAGACATTTTCAAACCATTTTTTTAAACCTCAGTGAATTAATCAAACCATTTTTTTTTTCCAATTTTTCATTTTTAAAATTTTTTATATTTGTCTAGTTGGGAATAATATAAATATATAATTTTTTTAACAAACAGGTAAAAAAATGTCACAAAAGACAAAAAATATACAAAAATAAAATCACAAAAAAACTATATCCAAACAACACCTACAAATTTGAAGGGGAAATTGGTTGAGATTTGCCAAAATAATAAATGACCATTGGAGCACTATTGCTATAATTTGACAAAATAACACTATTCATTGCTAAATTACAGCAATGGCAATAGCATTATAGCAATAATGGTTGGAGATGCTCTAAGCTCTTATATATGACTTGCTATCATAATCATATTCCTAAACTATGCAATAATTGTTTGATTTCTATTTGTTTTGTGTAACTAAAAGAACTAAAAGCCATGGTGCTGTATGACAGGAAGGATGTTTCTGGAGCAGCACAGATTGAAGCCTTCTACAAAGACGTAGTTACAACACACGTACTCTCTCTCTCTCTCTCTCTCTCTGTCACACACACACATACACACACTTGTATGATATTTCCATTATGGTATATGTGGTTTTTAACTCCATATTTTGTTCACGCTCCCTTACATTATAATTGTTTCCTCCTAAAACCCTTGCTATTGTCACTTTTATTTTCTTTATTTTCCCAAGGGGAATGAAAATGGTTTCATTGTTGTTAATTTTTCCCAATCTTTATATTCAAAAAAAGTCTATAAACACTGAAACCGATTATAAAACCGGACACAAGCCTCTTACATGAGGTGGAATCTATCTCTCTGGTTCTATAATTGGTTTCTGTGCAAGTAGAAGAACTATTGTATTCAAAGAGATGCAATTTCAAGAATCCATTTTTGCTTATCTCTGATGCAGGGATCAGCTAAGAATTTACCCATATCCTGCACTTTGAAAATGAGTCCTGGTTTGGCAAGTGTATTTTTCTTAATGGAAGTTTCACTCTCCTTAATTTTTCTAAACTTGTGCTGTCTTACCAATACATCTAAATTACATTGCAGTGTTTTTTCCCACAAAACATGGCATAGCAAATTCAAACTCCGCTTTTTATCGTAAACGCAGCCTATGATTAATGGCAGGTTAGCTCATTCCTATCAATACAAAAAAATGCTCAAGTTTATGATGATGGTTTATATAAACGTGTTCTAGTTTCTCACATGAGAATTTTGAAATTCGTGTCTCAACCTCTTTTGATTGTCTGTTGTGGAATTCATTATAAGTTATTTTCTCACAAGACCAGGTTTTGTTTAATAAATGGATTTTAGAAGTAGGAATTTGATGCTTTGGCATGTTTCGCATGTTGTAATTATCATATAGATATACCAAAGACACTGGTCTTGTTCTTAAAATACATTCATAATGTGAAATATATAAGATTTTGACACATATGACTCTTTCTAGGAAAACATATTCCCAACATAGAAAAAGGAAGTTGTACCCTCGATTCCAATGCGTTGAACAAAAAATAATAATGTCTTTCTTCAAACATGATTGTTTAGTTTTTAACTTCGTTTCTTGGGATTTCAATTTGAAGATAACAGATAATCTAAAGATACTACAAACTGGTTCTCACATACTAACATACATGAAGAATACAATTGTGATTTTTTTTTTTCGTCAATTTAATGTCGTGTTGTTTTCTTGTTCTTTTAATTTTATTGACTTATTACTTGATTCTGTTTTACTCAAGTCTTTGATTTTTGATTTTATATTTTTATAATAATTCAGGTAAATAACATTTTGGCACCGGATGTAGCTGATCTGCATGGCTACTGGCATAACTGCAAACTCAATGTTAAAATTTACCATCACCTACCACCAATTTACCATCACCTACTCCTCACCTACTACACTCACCCTCTCCTATATAATGAGCCACTCACCATTTGTAATATATACATCAATACATCAATCAATAATACAATCAATTTTATACATTGTATTTTCAGCTGATCAACTCAAAACCATGCAAGGTTACTATTTTATAATCTGTTTACCAACCTAGGAAGTTCAGAAATTTCTTTGGTTCTTATAGCTTTTCTACAATTTAAGTTTTTAGGTTTTCATGGTGCATTCCCTAAATCCTCCAAGTCTGTTTATGAAACCCAAAAAGAGTAGTGGTTCTGGTTGATTGTGTTATCATTTTCTGAAAATCTGATTATGAAACCCAAAAAGAGTAGTGGGTCTGGTTGATTGAGTCTTCATTTTCTATTTTTTGTTTTCATTTTCTGAAAATTACAAAAAACTTTTGTTGCAAACTGTTTCTGAAAACTGTTTTCCCTGACAATTATCCGAAATCAACCAACTTTTTTAACAAACACCAAAATATTGTTTTTGAATTTTTGAAATCGTTTCGCATATAATGAAAATAATGGGAGCTTTTCAACTTTTCATTGTTTTACTTCTAAAAACACGAAAACACAAACGAAAACATAACCAAATAAGCCTACTTCTCCATTTCCTTGAAAACCCTCTACTGTCTTCGTTCATTCATTTATTTATTATCATCTTTACTAATCTACGGTCTTTGACAAAAGCATAGACCTTTGAAATTTCATTTTATAACATAATTTTTGCATTTATTTTCATATTTCAGGATGGAGTTTTTAAGTGCATTGATGGGACTTGACAGCTCTTCATCTAGAGGGATGTTCATAAACTCTTGTTACGCCCATTGCCAGACATAAATGCAGGAGACATGGCTGAGGGATGACTCTCCAGTACTCAATGGAATGGTAAAAGAGGCTTGTGTTTATTCCCTTTCTATTTTTTATATTTTCTTTATTTTTTTTTTATTTTGCTGTTTTTCCTTCTATTTATTAAACTCGAATTTCTTTCTTGAACATTTTATTTATTTATTATTATTTTGTGGCAGATAATTGCAAAGGCAGTTGGTGACTGGTACTATGACCGACGGGCATTCCAAAAGATAGATTGCCCTTATCCTTGTGACAAAACTTGCCACACTAGTGTTTTTTATCAAACTGAACATAAGTTACAGTATAGATATATTTTTGTCAATTCATCATTCTTCAGTCAATAATTCATTTCTCACTAAAGTAAATTATTCAATCTCATTGCAATTAGAAGGAATTGGTCTCTTTTTTGTTCATGTTTTTGTTTTTTGATCTGAGAATTAAATGATTTGGAGAATTGTGTTTGTATTTCATGGATTTCCAAGTCATGTACAGGTGAATTGACGCGCAAGTAAGAAGTGTCTTCGAAATTGATGTTCTGAATATTATCCTTTGCCATCCATTCAAAGCTCATAAACACTTTTCCTTCCAACCTAATACTGGGTAGGTGTCGACTCTATACATCGTGTTACCGCTTGGCAAAGTCTTGTGTTGTTAATAAACGTTCTCTTCCCAAAACCAAGGTGGGCTAAATTTCCATCTCCATCCTTAGGTCATAATCAAAATCTTCAAAACCTTTGGGTAGTTATGGATATGGAACAGGGCTTTTGTGTCAATAATAGACAAAAAGTTTTCAATGAGTAATCTTTGGAAGAATTCATTAACCTGCCATTGGTTGTTGGCCTATTGTCATGTAACATATGAAGGGCGAGGACAGCCTGTCGAGTGGATGGTAATGCACTTTTCTTATGTTCACAAAAATGTTTTCACCCAAGATTATGTTCAACTAGTCAAAAACTCAAACAAGCAAAAGACGTTAGAGAAGTTCAGTTAGCCATTTATAAAAAAGTTTCTGTCCATATAACACTACTCTCTGATGTTTCACGAAACTACCACCCCTAATGTTGAACAAACAAAAATATTGCAAGTTTGGCAGTCATTGATATAAAGGATAAAATACCTGGCATAATAGTGACAACTAGTAGCAGCTTCATCTAAATTGTAGCGGGCAAAATTAGTGCAAGCATCTGTGGGAACATCTGGCAAGTCTTTCCGTAGCTTCCCTACTGCTGTTGAGTGAGAGAAAGCACCAACCGTCATGTCATTGTGCATCATAGACCTAAACGCATTCACCAACAGATGACATGCAACTATTCACTATCATGTAATCTATATATCAAAATTTCACTCAAACTAATCTTGACGCGAGAGAGACACATGACCCAAACCCGCCCCTATAGATTAAGGTCATAACCGGCCAGTAATTATGAGATTACCTACGGCCTCAAACGAGATTAAATATACTCAATAGTAGCAAGAGGGCCAAAACGGAAGCAGACTTAAAAATTTTGTCCATTGAGTTGTGCTTACAGGACATGTCAAAACATTTCCCATATCTTAGATAATAACTCACACCATAAGCCAAATTAAACGTCTTGTACATCCAAGATCATTCAAACATGCAATCAGTTAAACAAAAAGTTTATACACATATGTGTTCCAACGGAATCGCCAAGGTAGCAAAAAGGGTAAAACAACAGAACGAAAACAAAGTTTCGTGCGTGAGACGTTCGGGCTGACTCCACAAAACTTAGATTTCTCTTACATTCTTCACTGAGGCTGGGGTTAGACATCTCTTTGCTCACCTACATACATATAAATGAGAGCCTAGTAAATAATACCAAAGTAAAGAGGTTATATGAATGGGACTCATATTAAGCACATCGAACTTGTAAACTTCGTATACAAATGCCTTAGGCCCATTCTTTATTTTTGTTGTACGTGACAAATGGCCTCGGGCCTATTTTAGATCCTTATCAAACATATTAAACTGCCTCGGGCCCATTATTGATCAAACGGCCCCGGGCCCAATTCAAACGTTTCAGACGTATCAAATGGCCTCGGGTCCATTATTTTCCATATCCGTATTTATGCGCATTTCATATTCATGATCATGATCAATTTTTTATTCAAATGGCCTTTGACCCATTACATTTATATTCAGATGGCCTTTGGCCCATCAAAATATTCAAACGTATCAAACAACCTTAGGCCCAATTCATACATATCAAACGTATCAAATAGCCTCAGACCCAATTCATACATATCAAATACTCATTCATAATTCAAACCAACAAGTCCATGAAGCTTATACAGAAGTAACAGTTGGAAAATAACATACTTGAAAATATCTTTACTAAGATATTATTCACAGTGTTCCATCGATGGATTTGCCCTTGCGCTTAACCCTACACATTTCATAACACATTAGGTCACAAGCAATTCAATATGTTCTTAACTTGTTTATTTCTCTTAGGTCTCTTTCTTTATCCTTTGATTCATTTACAATGCTCAATACATGCCTAAGAGTGCGGAAAACGGAACATGAAATGACTTTTCAAAATTTCTGAAACAGGGCACTCCGCTCAAGCGGTCTGTAAAACTTTATAAAAGTACTGGTTGAATGATTTTTACGCTCAAGCGAGATTTCTGTCGCTCGAGCGAGGAGTCTTATAAAACAGGGTTCGCTCAAGCGCGATATTTGCCACTCGAGCTACTGTGCAAATCTCTACAAAACTTTTGGGAGTTTGATTTTTACACTCGAGCGAGACTTTCTTCACTCGAGCGGACAGGCCGAATTTTGCAATTTCCAGCATACTTTTTGAGCTTCAAAACACAACTCTACATGGTGTAACTTGCATATTATGGCCTATATGTCAACCATACAACTTCTATCATGATCTAAATGTCAATTTCACAAGACTTGAAGCTCAAATTCCCATGAATTCATCACATAAGTTCAATTATGTCAAATTTATTTTCATAACTTCAAAACCCATGCAAACAAATCTTATATCTTTTTAAATCTTTCATGCATGTGAAGTGTAGCTTGTATTTTCATCTCACAAATGGTACAATTGATGCTTAAACTCATGAGACTCAACAAAACTAGGCATGTATGTATGATTCGGTGCCATAATCTTCATGTTCCAAGAATCATCTTCCAAAAACAACATAAATCTTTAGAATTGAGTTTCATACCATGGTAATTCTTACATGCATGCCTTAATGACTCTCAAATGCTCATAAACTATACGTTTCATGCTCAATTATGCAAATTCATGGCAATCACTTACATGCATATGTATATTGACTTCAAATTCATCACATTCACCTTAAATCCTGTCTTTAGCTTCATATTATCTTTGAACTCACTCAATTATGAACTTAAACTCATGAATTTGAGTTCAATTACCCACCTAGAAGCTCCAATCTTCCAAATTCTAGCTAGTTCTTGAGTTAATCCTCTCAATCTTCAAGCTTTGAGGTAGAATCTTCAAGTTGAATTCTCTCTCTCTCTCTTTAATCGGCTCACTCTCTCTCTCTAGAGTGTATTTTCAGACCTTGAGCTCGTAATATGACCTTAAGGGTGTTTAGCCTATATATATACTAGGTGATTAGTTTAAACTAATCAAACTCAATTAGGGCTAACTAATTGTACTTAATTTAATCTAATTATTTTGATCCAAATCAATTTTTAATTAAATCTCACCGTAGACTTTAAAAATCATGATAATCACAATAATATAGTCAATTTCAATTTTTGTCGCCTCTACAGCCTTCAATTTAAATTTTATAACAGAAAATCAAATAGATTTTCCTACGGTGAACAAATAAAAATTCAAAAACACATATAATCATATAATTGGTGTTAAAATTGTAATATTATTGATTGATGTAGATTGATGTGTTATATTAAATCAGAGTAGCTCATTATATAGGAGAGGGTTTGGGTAGTAGGTGAGGAGTAGGTGAGGGTAAATTGGTTGAGGAGTAGGTGAGGGTAAATTGGTGGTAGGTGTAGTAGGTGTAGTAGGTGTGGTAGTAGGTGGTGGTAGGTGTAGGTAAATTCTAACAATTGGCACTCAAAATCATATCAGGCACATAATCACAATCATAATTAAGATTAATTAACATAACACAGAACAGGTTATCACAGAGAGAGAGAGAGAGAGAGAGAGAGAGAGAATGAAACACACAATCGTAATTCGAAAGCTACCCCGCTTCTAGAATAAGAGCATTACCATGTAAAATGGCATTCAACAGGGAAAAAGAAGAATACTATCACTGAGAGAAATATAGGAACATGCAAAGATCAGACAAAAAGGGAACTAGATCCCTTAAAAGGAAAAAATTGCCAAACACTTCTTTTCAAGTTTAGCATTGAAGTTCTAATTTTCTGTGTTACGTCCTCTCATCCATGAAAAGACATGACCAAAATCTAAGCACATGGTTTTACTTTTTTGGACAGTATCTTGTCCTCCTCTGTTTCCCTTTTGTACATTTTTCTACCTATTTTAATAATATTACACTTCTTTGTTAACTATAAAATAAAAAAAATAAAAAATAAAAAAAGATCTAAGCACGAGATTGACAAGAAAACACTGGGTAAACCTTCAAAGTTCTCAAGTCCACCTGATGTATTGCCTACCCTACATGGAATCACTCTCCAATGGTTCAACCCGAAAGATGATTGTGTCGTTTGGGACAAAACCTGTGATGGTAACTTTTCCAGTAGCTCAGCCTGTACCATTGCTAAGTCATTCTCCACTACCACCCCTCTAGTTTACTGGAATTGGGTCTGGAAGGCGAACATTATCCCGAGAATTCGATTTTTTCTCTGGCTTACCATTCAACTTCGTATCAGCACTAAATCTTTCCTGTTTCATCGTAATATCGGGAGGGATCCTTTTTGCCCCTGGTGTACGAACATACCGGAATCTCCTCTCCATACCCTTAGAGATTGCCCCAGAGCTCAAGCTTTTTGGAACACTGTTGGCATCCCAATCGACTTACTCCCCTCCTTTACTGGTAACCTCACCGATTGGATCAAACTCAACTGTTAGTCCCCCCTCACCCACCATTCCTCTGTTGGGTGGTCTATCATCTTCCCTTTCTCTTGTTGGTGTATCTGGAAAAATAGAAGCTCCCTTGTGTTTGATCCCAACAACCCCAACCCTTTCAAACCTTCCATTGCCATTGCTCATGCTTTGGAGTGGCAACACCTCTCAAATCCCGTCATGCGAAAAACTCTTCGCGAGGTTTTCATCAAATGGAATCCACCCACTGCGGGCTGTTTCAAACTCAACACGGATGGTGCTTCTAAGGGCAACCCTGGCAAAGCTTCAGCTGGAGGGCTCATTTGGGATCATCTTGGTCAATGGGTAGTGGGCTTTTGTAGAAACATTGGGACTACTTCTAACGTCGCTGCGGAATTATGGGGGTTGAGGGATGGCCTCAAGTTAGCTCTGGAAAGAAACATTTTGAATCTTAAGATTGAAACTGATGCAATTTTACTCAAACAACTGCTATCAACTAACATCTCAGCCTCACATCAGCTTCACAATCTTATTAATGATTGTAGGTACCTCCTGAGCTGCCTCGGAACACCAACAATTAACCATGTCTATCGGGAAGCCAATGCCTGCGCAGATTTGCTAGCAAACTTGGGAGCTTCAGTTGAAAATTTTCAATCTTTTGTCAACCCCCCTCCTCTAGTTTGTAATCAACTTCTAGCTAATGCTCTGGGTATCTCTTACCCTAGACTGCTGTAATTGCTTTTCTTTAATGCATCCAGTTTACCAAAAAAAAAAAAAAGGCAGTAACATAAAGCCTCCTAGATTGGTCCATGAACAGCTTTATTGCATAACCAGAAGGAAGCTTCCTCAAATGTTAACAATGTGGGGTCACTTCTACGAGCCTTGAGTTGTCTTCAACACATTTGGGTTTACTTGTGTCATTTCTTACTAAAATCTAAGAAGGATCAGCATCCTTCTGTTCAATGTATTCCTTCAAATTCAATGTACATTATCATACTTATCTACTTTCTTATCCAAAAATAAATAAAAAACAAAACAACCCCAATATTAGAAGGCTATTAGCATATCCCACAAAGACACCAATATTAGAACTTGGAACAAAAAGCTTTTTCATTATTCTTGCCTGTCAAGCTTCTGCAAGTCAACAAGCCTTTCCCCCAATTACATGGGTCCGCTACATGTACCCATTTCCTTCATTTTGCTATAATTGATTACAATTTGAAAACAGATACAAAATGAAAACTGTTTTCTGGTGAAGAATGAACTCTTTTTTTTTTCTCTCTCTTTTTCTTTTTTGGGTAAGAACTTTCTGGACAATTCAACTAGGGTTTAGATTTTTAGCAAAACACCAAGCAAATAAAGTATCAATCTCCGAATAAATTAGACAATCAAGCTTGGACCTCGGCTACATTCACGCGTCACATCCCAATTCAAAACTGATTCTCAGACAGTAATAGCATAAGCCTCCGTTTGGCTACCAAGAAAAACGAAAGGAAAAGAAAATACAGATTCAGCACTACTATGCACTCGTAATAATCAAGTTCAAGAGTTACATCACAAACAAATTAAAAACCAACAACTTTTCTCCAAATCGTAGAAAAACAAAGAGAAATTCGAATGTAAGAGAAATAGATATTCCAAACACACACACGCATATATATATATATATATATAGAGAGAGAGAGAGAGAGAGAGAGAGAGAGGAGAGATTGGAAGATTTTGTGGGATATCAGATTTGTTTTTTGTTTTTGTATTTTTGTTTTTGTTTTTTGTTTTTTGTTTTTTGTTTTTTGTTTTTTTTTTTTTTTTTTTTTAAGTAATTTTTTATTTTTTAGTTAAAATGTGATATAAAAAAATTAGTATATTTGGAATAATTTTTTAATTTTTTATAAAAAAATATGTAAAAAATAGAGAAAAAATAAAGTTTTTAATTTTTTTATATGAATTATTAACTTTTTAATTTTTTTATATGAATTATTAACTTTTTAATTTTTTTATAATTTTTTTAACTAAAACAATCACTTACCAAACCACCTCTTAATTGATGCTTATTTCTCAGAGTGAGACCACCATTTGGGCTCTGAGGCCCATTAATTTTCTTTGGTCCACAGGGCCCTGAATTTAAAGTGACTAAGAGCCTTAATCCAACCCCAACTGCAGTTGCAATCCGTAGAAGTAGCTTCAATAGAAGGTGGCACGACCACCAATAAAGACATTGCTCTAAAACTCCTCAGCTCCGCTTGATTTAAAAGAAAATTTGATAAAAAGTGAAAGTAAAAAAAAATATTTTTTTTGCAAACATTTTATTAAGATGAAAATTTTGTAAGAAAAATATAGAAAAAATTAAAAATTTAGTTATAGATAATTCACATGTTCAATTTTTCTTATATTTTCTTGTGTTTTTTTGTAAGAAATAAAAAAAATTAGTTACAATGCTAATATGGTTGTATAAAAAAATTAGTTTTTTTATACTTTTCACAACTTTCAAGCTAAACAAACTCATGAAAGTTAAATTTTTTATCTTTCTTTTACTTTCTATCTATTTCATTCTAAACAAACTGAACCTTAAAGAAGAAGATTCATCACTGAGCTAGAGACATTCGAGATATAAGAACATAATAGGCCAAGTAGAAGGTAGTCAACTACAAGACATAAAGGCTTTTCAGCAGGTTGTTAAGCAGAAGTCTCGGAAGGAATTTTGGGACTGCATATTGGCCTTTTTTTTTATATATTTATATTTTGAATAGAGGGGACCTCCAGAACCAAGATTAAGAGTTTGTTTTGGTCGACGAAAGGTTCAAGCTAATGAGGCCTCTTGAGATTCATTTCCATAGTCAAGCGATTTGGCCGATTGATTCGGAATTGATTCCACTTCATTCAAATCCCTCGCGATTGATTGTTGGAAGAGTTTTCACTAAAGCCGATTACTACCTTTCAGGCCTAGCTATTGAGGTAAGGAGCAAAGGATTCACTTGATGAATAACCGTCCGATAGATAATCCCACCCGACCTAGCTATCATAATGCATCTCGATGCCAAAGCTTCCCGAACCTATTGAAATGAGGAATACTAGGATCAGAGAGCTAGCATCCCTTGCTCTCTATCAATTGCTCACTACTGTTTCAGCCGAACAAAAAAAAGAATAGAACAGGGTGCACATTTCCCATTTGTTCTCGTCCCACTGTGACTATCAATAGCTTTTTCTATTGAAATGGAATCCCCGGTCCTACCTTTCTTAATTCGTCAATCGACAGCCACCCTACTTCTAATGATAGATAGAAAATGTGAAAGAGGGTTGAGGGACAACAAAGATACAAAAACAAAAACTACATGGCATACGTACGTCAAATGGTAGGGTCCATTAGACGATCCCCAATCTTGCTCGGCTCGGGGCGATCACTTGAACAGGGTGTGATTGATCGATCTACATCAATAATTTTGGCTTCCCTTCTTAGGAGTGCATCTACAGAATAGAGAGAGCATGCACCATACTCCTACTATACTAGGGCCTTTAGCTTTCAGTGGGAGGAAGAGAGGACTTCCAGCTAACTTTTTTCCGTAAACCTAACCAATGACTGATAGGCTGGCTTAAGATAATAGAAAACAAATATATATTATTTCCATATGTTAAAAGTAAAATTAGTTTGTAAAGAAATAAAACCTTTGAAAAAATTAAGGAAACCTTGAAAAAATTAAGGAAAAAAAACATACATACCGTAATAAGATTGCAAACGAGCTAAGTCAAAATACATATGTAATAAACTATTTAAGCTTTGCTTAAAACTTTGAGGGAGTTTTAAAATTTATTTATGCTTGACTTGTTTAAG